TGTATGTTCAACAGTGCGCGTAAGTGCTCGTAGGCGGTGGCTGCGCGAGGTCTATTCGGCCCGAGGGCTTGGTTTTGTGGAGCAATTTGTCCAGAATGGGAGGAAGTTTGGCTTGGGGCAACTCCGAGGGGAGAAGGGTACTGAGCCAGACCTTCAAAGGCTGAAGGGGACAAGTCTGGGCAACCCTTGGCTTACAGCAGAAGGCAAACACAACCATGTCCCTGTGGAAAAGTGTCTCAAATTCCCAATTTCAGTCAGGGGCTGGATCAAGATTAAGCAGAAACGGGCAGGTGCGGTGGCTCATTGCTGTAATCCCAGCACTTTGGAGAGCTGAGGAGGAGGACACCTGAGAGGGTCAGGCCGGGCACGGACCAGACCTCAGTTCGAGACAGCGCTGGCGGAACGCGAGCGCATAGGGGAACGCCGTCCGCACCCCATCTTACCGAAAACACGCGAAAGGATGGCGATGAACGGCGGACCAGCGGTGTGATGGTGGTCTTTTATAATAAACTAATGACATCCAGTGTCTCCAAAAAAAAAAACAAAAAACAAGAGTTGTATTTGCTCCTGGTCTTTCAGGCTGGGTTTCCAGGTCTCCTGGGTCCCTGCCACCTCCTTTACTGCAGGGCTACTTTGCAGAGAAAGTCAGAGAAACACAAAGGAATTCTGACAGAATAGACAGAAAGCATATCTTGATGTGACTTGTCAAGAGAGATTGTCGACCAGTGTTTCTACTTATCTATGGTTTCTTACCCCAAAAAACAGGAAAGAAGAAACTGTAGGATAAACAGAACATTCTTCCATTGGTTGAATTCAGTAGCCTATTATTAAAAAAGAAAAAAAGTAATGATTAGGTTAATGATACTGCAGTTTAAATTTACTGGTTTTACTAAACTGCGTTTTGATACAGGAACCATCTTCCCAAACAGAAAATATAATGCTAAAAATCCTAGGTGATACTAATTGGGTGACGTTGGGCAAATCTCTTTTCTTCCCTGAATCTCAGATTCATTTCACAAAATGTAGATTATTTAAAAAAAGGAAAGCCTTCCTCAAAAGGTGGATATAAGGACTGAATGAAATTGTTTAGGACTGTGCTGACAGCCAGCACAAAATCACAACTGCTATTATCACTGCGGCTATCATTGATTCACTGACTTTACACACCTTTACTAGTTTAATTTGTGGTCCCAAATTCAAGGTTGGGTTTATTTTTTGTAAATAATTCTAGAAGAAAGTTGATTATCTCTTTTTTTTCTTTCTTTTTTGAGACCAGGTCTTGCTGTCACCCAGGTGTGATCATGGCTCACTGCAGCCTCTACTTCCTGGGATTAATCAGTCCTCCCACCTCAGCCTCCTAAGTAGCTGGGACTATAGGCACAGGTCACCATGCCTGGCTTTTTTTTTTTTTTTTTTTTTTTAGTAGAGATAGAATCTCGCCATGTTGCCCAGGCTGGTCTCAAAATCCTGGGCTCAAGTCATCTGCCTGCCTTGGCCTCCCAAAGTACTGGGATTACAGGTGTGAGCCACCAAACCCAGCCAAAAAGTTTATTCTTAATTAATAATGTAGGCAAGAAAAGTTTAAGGTCATAAACTGTTTTCAGGAACTTGCACATGCTTAGGAAGTATTGTGAACAAATAAACTATTATTTGCTACTTACAAAGCAATCAAGTAATTGGGGTGGAGGAGATGGTAGACAAAGAAGTTTAAGACTTCATTTCTGGCCGGGTGCGGTGGCTCACGCCTGTAATCCCAGCACTTTGGGAGGCCGAGGCGAGTGGATCACCTGAGGTCAGGAGTTTGAGACCAGCCTGGCCAACATGGTGAAACCCTATCTCTACGAAAAATACAAAAATTAGCCAGGCACAGTGGCAGGGGCCCATAATCCCAGCTACTACGGAGATCGCTTGAACCCGGGAGGCAGAGGTTGCAGTGAGCCGAGGTCATGCCATTGCACTCCAGCCTGGGCAACAAAAGCAAAACTCCACCTCAAAAAAACAAACAAAAAAGACTCAATTTCTGCTCTCCGGGGATTTCATCCCTAGCTGAGAAAATTAAATTAACCCTCCTGAGGAGACAATAAGAAGGAGTATTTTCTTCATGGTTGGTCTCCTACTTGTATCCAAAAACAATTTGAAGGTGTCTGAAGACTGCCCTTAAGTATGTGCTCCGTAACAGGATCAAATAGAATAAATATAAGTTCCACTCACTTTCTAGTAAGCAATACTTTGTTAGCCAAGTTTTCGAAACTCTATGTATTTAAAATGAAATCTTTTAAGTTTATAGTTCAAATTTTTAAACAATTAAGGTAGAATTCTCTTCTCCAATCGGGACCATCTTGTCACATTTCACTGTCATTGTTTCATTAGTAATGCTTTGCCCACTTCACTTATCAAAAAGATATACATTACAAAAATTAGCTGGGCATGGTGGTGTGCACACCTGTGGTCCCAGCTACTGGGAAGGCTGAGGTGGGAGGATCACCTGAGCCCAGGAGATGGAGGCTGCAGTGAGCCGTGATGGTACCACTGCACACTCCAGCCTGGGTAACACAGTGAGACCCTGTCTCAAAAAAAAAAAAGATACACATTAAGTGTTCCTAACTGTTGAAACTGGCTGATGGGCATACATGTGGAGTTTGCCACATCACTCTGTCTCCTTCTGTATATGTTTGACAGTTTCCTTGCATCCTAACACTTTTTGTTAAATGCTTACTTGTGAAAGAAAAATATAATAAATAAAAATCTGTCTTACCAGCAAGCCCCAAGCTAATCAAAGGAGCAGAAAACATCCAAGAGAATTAAAGCCGAAAAGTTTACGCTTAAGGCAGTCAAAGACCAAAACAAAACAAAACCACAAAAATCATGGGAAACACTTACTGTCTGAAATTAAAATAAAATTGTTTATAGATTTAGTTTTATTTCCTTAATAATGATGCAGACTGGTATTAAGTGGGCATTTTAAAAATAATTGTAGCATGACATTTACTTTTAAAAAGAAATAATTAAAGCGTAATAACAATGGCAAGCCCTTCTTCCTTTAGACTTACTGGTGGGGAATATGAGTCTTTTTCACTTTGCCACTCGGGGGGTTTTTCAATAGGGGGGAAAAAAAAAAAAAGTCCCATTCTTTATCCCCTGTTCGTCAACTGTAAGTGATACTAGATGCTTACTTTGAACCTACTGCAGCTGATTCAAATAGTGAAGGAAAGTTCACCGTGAGTATTTTCCAAGGGCCTGAATTTGTAACAAGGAGAGCCTGTCATCTCTGACTTGCTTCACCAGGAGGATAGATCGAGGCACCTATTATATAGATACTATTGACTGTGTAAGCCCAAGTCTGTGGCGTTGAAATTCCAGAGGAGTGGAGTCCACACGACAACGTTATACCAACAATCTCTGGTCCTCGTCCATCCCGCCTTAGTCCCCAGTTTACACTTTAGCGAAAAATAACTCAATCGAATTTTTCTTCTCCCTAAACAAGCGAAGTTCACGATTTTGGCCTTCATCCATTAATCAGCTTCAGAACAGTCG